GATAAACGTTGCTTCGGTCCAAGGTAGCTTCACCATATGCCACAGTCAACATTCGGAATGCGTCCGCGCACTTAATTTTGTTTTTCACACAAAATTTGATACAGATTCTTTGATCCATTTTTTGGAATAGGCAAAAATCGAAGACGAGCCAAAACACGTCCAAGCAAAACAGCTGTCAAAGATAAACTGAATATTCAAAATGGCCGAACTTGTCGGCGTAAGTGAGGGACATAAGTACCAACATAACGCCACAAAAAAATCGAAAATCGAATATACGTAACTCGCGGAAATTCAAAATTCGTGATACTTTTTGAACAGATCTCGTACGTTCAAATAAAAAGATATGTCTGTAAAATAGTATTTGTGATCAATTCAACACATTAATAAAATATTTCTAACATTTTTCTTTTGCTTTAACAATCAATAAATAATCGTAAAATTAACACTAACAAAATCATGAGAAGAGAGATTAATAAAGAAGGTTACATATCATATTAATTTTATGGTTATTTATTGATTGTTAGAGCAAAAAAGAAAGTGAACGAAGTATTTTACTAGTGTAATCAATCGATTACAAATGTTATTTTGTAGATATGTCTTTTTATTCCAGTGTTTATCGCAAGAATTCTCGGTATGTGTTTCCTCGTTCTAACGTTATCAGACAATTATAGGTTTATCCATCACATACATGTACACGTACTTATATGCATATATACACTTAAAAGAATCCCAGAATCGTCTCGTTTTATAGCAATTTTGTTACTATACTCGTTACTGGCTGCACAGAATTAAAACTCTTTTTGCATAATTACAATACACACGTTAATGTAGTCGAGAACGATTTTTTTCGAAGAACGAAAAATGTTTCATAATTTGTGAATTTTTTGGTTTTTTTAAATGAAGTCAACCCTCCTCGTTTACATTAACGTGTATATTGTATTGTAATTGTACAAGGATTGCAAAAGGATTTTTAATTTGCAGCCAATAACGAATATAGTATTAACAAGTTTGCAGTAAAACAGAACGACTGCAGGATCTCCGTATACATGTGTATGTATACATGATTGATAAATCTATAATACACTTACTTCTTCAAGTATATACCCATATACCAGGTGTAGAAGTATGAAACCGGAATTTCCCTATAGATGGTGCTAGCCATCAGTTTAAGGACCGTAAGACCGCTTCTGCAGCGCCATCATCTCCCTCTAACAGCTGACGAAGATTTTCAACACACAACAACCCAAGTTCCATCTACTCTTTCTAGGACATTCTGACGTCGGATGATCCTTGGCACACTTTACGCATCTAGCTTTGCGATGACAAAAGCGCTTTATGTGACCATATCTTTGACATTTGGCACATTGTGGAATTTCTTGTTTGTATCTGAGCGGTTCAAATCTTATTTTACATTGAAGAAGTATATTAATATAATAAATTTTGTTGTTATTGGTGTTTGGTTTTAATTTAACAAAAAAGATGGGTTAGGGTTTATTAGTTTTATATTGTTTAATTTTATTGGTAACTGAATGGCCTATGTCATTCAATTCCTTCCTTATGTTCTCCAAATTGCTTGATGGGTGCATGTTTTTTTTAATATTACTTTAAAGTTTCTGTCTTGTTCCAGTTTATATGTGTGAAATTCTGTATTTCTATTTTGTAGTTCACTAACAATTGTGGTGTACTTTACAGAGAGTTTAGGTTGTATTTTTCCTTCATCATTTTTGATAATTTTAATTTCATATTCGTTTTTTGCTATATATTCTAGCAGTTGCGTGAGAGGCTGTACGAGGTCTGGCTATTAAATAACGAGACTGCGCGCGCAGAAGTCGTCCTAGAGGGGAAGGGGGGGAAACGAATGCAGCGTTGGATAGGTGGAAGTATCTACTATTCCAGTACGAAAACTCGTTTTGTCGCTGTAGCAGTATTTTTTCTATAGAGGTTAGAAACGAACGTGTTTTTTTCTCGTGCCGATAACAATGTGTGACGAAAAACACGAGCAACGGATCAATGTGAAATTTCTCGTTAAATTAAAAAAAACTCTGACTGAGTGCTATAACTTGTTGAAAGAGGCCTATGGTGAGAATTCTCTATCTCGTGCGCATGTTTTCGAATGGTATAAACGGTTTTCTGAAGGCCGAGAGAGCACCGAAGATGAC